AAACTCCTTAAAGAATATACCTTTGTCGGTTGTTGGACAAATCTTCATTCAGTAAGAACGAGTAGCGCGGGATGTTCGATTATACTTGACAGAGTTTTATTATCTCATACCTGTGGCACAACTCATGCAAAACACGTTAATGTTGCTTGCGGCGGCCATGTGCAACATCATCGGTAAAGTACGGAAGGCGAAAGTAATTTATTATGATGAAGCTACGCTCAACAAGCAGAGACGGAAACTCGACGGGGTCTAAAGGAATAGCGAAAGCGGATCATACACACCTTTGTCCATTAACCTGCATCATTGATGTAGCTTGCTTGCATCTTGGTTTGTCATTCTCCGCGATAAGCTCTCTCTCTCTCTCCACATTATAATGTATGTTAATATAGTTGCAACCGAGCTTACACTGAGAAATTCACTACATAGGTCTTCGCTGTACAAACCAAAACGAAATACTTGGACAGCTTTATTTCGTGAAATGATTTGCTTTCAAGCTGAGTTTCAACTCTATTTGGAACAAGCGAGCAGCAACACCGACGACGTAAAATTACAGTAAGCCAAGTAGAACATCCGGCGCTCCTTGTTCTTACGGAATGAAGATGTGTCCAAACAACCGACAAGGTATATTCTTTAAGGAGTTTGCATATATATCTTCTAATTCAAAGTACAAACAAAATCGCATACATTTCGTTGGTGTGCTGTAAAAAATATAGGTAAATCCAGAGTTTCTCCGTGTAAAACACGGCATTAGTGTAAAAGTGTTAAATCGGTCATTTTGGAAAAGTACAAATGTTAAACCGGTTTTTCATTCAATTACGCTATCCGCTATACTGGACACTTTCACTCAACAAAGACGCCGTAGGGGTAGTCACCCGTCTGCAGAGTAAACGTCGCGCACAGCGGGTTGGCTGTGGCTGTCTCGTTGTACACGTCGCAGTCTGTCTCCGGTTTGATTCCGATCACATAGTCCGTGTCCTCTGCAACCTTTTTCATACCGTTGCCAATCTGCGGGTAATACACGCTCCAGTCCTCCGCGGTCAACGTAAAGCTCACACGCTGAGTCTGGCCAGGCTCCAGACTGATCTTTGTGAATTTCTTCAACTGTTTCACTTCAGGCACCGAAAGCGATCGGTACGGCTGCGTCAGGAATAACATCACGGTCTCCTTACCGGCCATACTGCCAGAGTTCATGACGGTGAGAGACACATCAATTGAATCGGAGCTGGAGGTGACGATGGCCCGACTGAGGGTGAGGTCAGAGTAGATAAACTCAGTGTAGCTTAGACCGGTGCCGAAATCCCACTGCATCTCACAGTAGGTAGAATCGGCACAAAGAGTTGAAACACGGTGGTTATAAGGCATCAGGATGTTTCCAGAACCCTTCGGGTATGTGATCGGCATACGTCCACTAGGGCTCACCTGACCGTACAAAATTTCCGCCACCGCCTTCCCGCCCTGTTCACAAGCGAGCAGACCGTGTACCACGGCATGGACGTTCTCTGGGAGATCGCTAAGTAGACGCGGCCGGCCTGCGAACAGGACAAGAATCACCTTGGTGCTAACCGAGGCAAGTTCATTGACATATTCAATCTGACCAGCAGGTAGCGCAAGGTCGTCAATGTCACCGGTTTTTTCTGCGTAGGGCTGTTCACCAATGATGACAACGGTGTACTCAGCCTGACTAGCGTGCACCTTAGCAGTACTCAGGTTAGCTGCCGTGTAATTGCCGTCGTAGTCCAGTCCGTTGAAGTAGACCACCTTGTCACCTGCAATATCCACCATGCCATCCCTGACAGAAACGCCGTTCGGGAAATAATCGTTGCCAGTGTAACCATGCCATCTAACACTCCAACCACCGCACTGGTTGCCGATATTGTGAGCTGAATGGCCCGTTAGGAACACCGAAGACGAACTCGAGATTGGCAGCGTACTGTCGTTGTTCTGGAGAAGCACAATCGACTCTCGAGCCATTTCCAACGATTTTTCAACATCGGCATCGTTGCGAACCTTGGCGACATCGTCGGCGCCCGGTACGGGGGTGTCGAATAGCCCCAACTGTAACTTGGTCTTTATGATACGCTTTGCGGATTCCTTGAGTCGGTCGACGTATTCGGGGCTTTCGTCCAGGAAAAGTTTGGTACTGTTGAGATACCCGTCGCCATATCCCATGCTCATGTCGATTCCGTGTGTACGTATGACATACGGACGGCCTCGCCAACAGTACGCGCGACGCGGTGGAACGAGTTGAGTTCGCCAATCACGCCAAAATCAGTGACAGCTAGACCCTCGAAGGCGAGATCCTCACGCAGCAGTTTCTGAAGGATCTTGTGGTTACTAATGGAGGGTACACCATTAATGGAAATGTAGGTTTGCATGGTCGTCATGACCCCTGCGTCAATAGCAGTCTTGAAAGGATCCACGTAGTAGTTGAGCAGGTCGAAGTCGGATATCTGAATGCCATCCTTGTCGTGACCCGATGGTGTTTTTGAGTAACCTATGAAGTGCTTCATGCACGCCGCGGTCTGGTTGTTACTCTGTAAGCCGCGAATGAGTGCACTGCCCATCACTGACACGAGATGAGTATCTTCACCAAAGGTTTCATAGGTGCGTGGCCACAGCGGGTTACTTGAAATCTCGAGGATGGGTCCAAACACCCACGGAACCCCGGCTGCGAGTGTGTCCTGGGCGGTGATACGACCCATTTCGTACACCAGTTCGGGGTTGAACGAGGCTCCACTATTGATCTGAGCGCCGAATAATGTCGTGTTTAAAACAAAACCAGCACCGTGGACTGAGTCGAGACCGTAGATCATTGGGATGCCGTCGTTCTCCTCCATGACGATCTCTTGGATACGCGTTATGATATCACGCCAATCGGTTAAGCCCCAGCCAACAACACCGGTAAGGTCGTTCGGGCCATTCGCGAACGGTGAGATCAAAAATGAGCCGACGTGGAGCTTGGCGTAGTAGCGGACGAGGTCCTCGTTTAGTGAGTAGTCCGCGTTCAATACAGAGGAGATGGCAACCTGGGCCAGCTGACCGATAATTTGCTTATCCGTGAAGTTCTCGACAATGGCGTTGGCGCGAGCATTTAGGTCGTTGGCAGAAATGGACACAAGCGCTACAGCAGTACTGCAGATTCCAAGGAGCCATTTGTGAAGCATGATTGACTTGGAGCTGCTTGTGGCCTCTGTGGTGAGTTTGAAGATGATCTTCTGCCCCGGAAGTTTTGGGAACCAAACCAGACAGCTATTGAAGTTCGGGCCACCTATTTATCTCTTCAGAAACGAGTTGGCAACTCCCCCCCCCCGTATTTGTGTTGATAGGGAATCATGAAAGAAGACTCACTACATGTACGTATTCCGAGACCTGCCAGTTCTGAGTTGGTTATGCAACTTCAACTAGGCGGTGTTTCGC